CACCGGTGACTGGGATCAGGGCGAACCCTCCGCACAGGCGAGGCCTGAGAGCCGTCCCAAAGCCTCTTAAAAACGGGAGGCGGATAATCCGGGGGAAGCCACTCCTGTGCCATTTGCCTCAGACGCGTCCCGTTGCTCTACGGGGAGGATATCTGCCACTCAAGGGGGCTTCGTTAGGATGATTTGGAGGCTGTCGCGTCCTTGCCAATTAGAATCAGAGCTGTCAGAAGCGTCAGGAAATTGTACTCCCACATATATGCGTCCCTCAGGGAGCGGGATTTGAACCCAGCACAACAAACCGCAGGTTCCCACCCTTGAGCTAAAGTAGCAGTAGTGGGGGTCAGTGGGATCAGTGACCCTCAGTGGGGTCAGCCACCCTCAGTGGGGTCAGCCACCAAAAGGCGATGGCTCATGCTCACACGTAGCTAAAGCCAGGAGAAACGTACCTCTGGACCCTGGAAGGTGGGGCAAAGACTCCGTGTTTAGGGGAGCAGCTGAAATACCGGACCCCGAAGACCGAGCCATCGTGTTTCCCCGTGGGCTTGTCGAGTTCGATGCCGAACCAGTAACCTGGCGATGGGATAAGAAGCCGTCAGAGTCCATTTCCCAGCACGAGACGCGGGCTCAAACCCCGGACTCCCACGCCAGAGCTAAAAGACCCTGTTACAGTCTTTTCCACCCACCAATCGGCACCTCTGCCCTCCCGCCAGCCGGGTACCTTACCCGGCGCAAAGTCCGTCTTGCCGTAGAACCGGATGATGCCCTGCTTCTGCCCCGCCACCAGCACCTGGTCCCCAATCTCGATCTTCAGCCCTTCTCGGTCCAGGCTGCCCACGGAGGGAGACTTCTTCCTGAGAACTGAACGGAGAGGCAGTGAGACCAGCCCAGGGGTGCCCAGACCTCCAGCGGCAGCTGCGTTAGCCTGGTGCCAGAGCAGTGATTGAAACCTTGCCCCCTGCCCATCTCTAAGCCAATCCTGCCACCTCCCCGCCCTCAACTTTTCCGCTCTCCTCCAATGAGTGACTTGGAGGGAACAGGGGGAGGAGCCCACAGCAGGAGGTGCTGGCAAGTTAAAGAAGCATGGCTTGGATGAATGGACTATGAGGTGGATAGAAAGCTGGCTAGATTGTCAGGCTCAACGGGTAGTGATCAACGGCTCGATGTCTAGCTGGCAGCCGGTATCAAGGGGAGTGCCCCAAGGGTCGGTCCTGGGGCCGGTTTTGTTCAACATCTTTATTAATGATCTGGAGGATGGGATGAATTGCACCCTCAGCAAGTTCGCAGATGACACTAAGCTGGGGGGAGAAGTAGATACACTGGAGGGTAGGGATAGGGTCCAGAGTGACCTAGACAAATGGGAGGATTGGGCCAAAAGAAATCTGATGAGGTTCAACAAGGACGAGTGCAGAGTCCTGCATTTAGGATGGAAGAATCCCATGAACTGCTACAGGCTGGGGACCGACTGGCTAAGC